ACTAAGGTACGTTAATGACATGTGGTTCAATTAAGTACTCACTCTCTTAAACTTTAAATCTTGAAAGAACTGATTAGTTGTGTTTGTGTGATTTTGAGTGGTGAATGTAAACTGTCACAACAAGCAGCAGGAGAGCACCTTGTTAACCTCTTGGTGTACTGCACGCTCAAAACATCATAGCATTGTTTATTAAGCCTTAATAAACAATGCTTGATAAAAAAAAAGACTAACCAGCTTCTGATCTCCTTCTTAATACCTCATCTTTTGTTATTTTATTTATGTGTATTTATATTATGTGTATAAATTGTTTTGCTTTGAAAGGCTCCTGTTTAAGCACTTTATTTGTTGCACTTTTTTGTTTGATAATGAAAAATATTTTTCCCTAACTAAACTTGTCATTTTTTGCTGAACATGAATCATTAAGTGCTCTTAATAATACAATTATTAACAATATAGGTGAGGTTTCAGTTAAGAGTTAGTTGAATACCATTGTAATCAAAATGTCAATCAACCTAAATTGGTCAAATCTTAAACACAGGTCTATTAATTAGGCTATTTTGTGGTACATAGACAGTCATTGAGGCACAGCAATAGTTTTCTGGATGAATGTTCAGCTCAAGTCTAGAAGGCCCCACAAGTCATGAGCAGATAAACATGAATCAGAATAAGTTCAGGCATACCACCCAAAGATCCACTAGAATGCATGAAATAAGATCTACTTAAACCAGAATGTCCTTGGGGTGGACCATCAGCTACGTCTCTGCTTCTCAGAATGTAACCAATGTTGTCCATCTCCAGCAGGCCGCCCCTCTCAACGACGTTGGGCCCCACAAACCACCAGAATGCAGCGTACAACATGGGTACTACGCCAAATGAATTCCGATTTCCTGATATGAGCCACCAACGTGTGTGGCTGCGTGCGCGGCAAAATCTTGGTCACCCCCGACAAAATCTCACTCCAAGGTTTTTTGAAAAGTTGGCAGCTCTGCACTTGTGTTATTTGTACTGCCATAATATTCGGCCTAGCATTGGGTATGAACGCCGGGACCGTTGAGCGAACCATCTCTGCTAACAGGTTATGGGCCCAGAGTTGCCCAGAGAGTTTCCAACGAGTTATCACCGAGAGAAAAGTCGCGACGTACCGCGTGTCCGGTGAGTTAGCATGCTAAGCTAGCGCCATGAGTAGAAGAGCCTACGAGTCAAGTGGCCGATGGTCACGGCTGGTTTTTGACGGAGATGAAAGGAACTACGAACTGTGGGAGACGAAATTTTTGGGTCATCTCCGGCTACAAGGTTTAAAGGACATTATTCTAAACGAGCCAGACGGTGGAGATGATGAAGAGGAAGATAAAAATGCTGAGGCATACGCGGAGCTGATTCAGTTTCTCGATGATAAAAGTTTGTCGCTGGTAATGAGAGATGCAGCGGACAATGGCCGAGGAGCACTGAAGATTTTGAGAGACTACTATGCTGGAAAAGGAAAACCCAGGGTAATAAGCCTGTATACCGAACTGACTTCACTTCAAAAGTTAAGTACCGAAAGCGTAACTGAATATGTTATACGTGCAGAGACCACTATCACAGCATTGAGAAACGCCGGTGAAACGTTAAGCGACGGACTGCTAGTGGCAATGATTTTGAAGGGCCTGCCAGAGTCTTATGGACCGTTCGCTGTTCATGTTACACAGAGCGATGCGAATACGTCTTTTGCGGAGTTCAAAACTAAACTGCGGAGCTACGAGGCTACTGAGAAAATGCGCGCCACAGAGTCGAGCGACAACGCGATGAAGGCGAAAATGCAACCTGCGTCAACCAGTAGACCTACAAGTGACCATGGAACCGAGAGTGCGGACATTGTATGTTACAGATGTGGCCTGAAAGGACACAAAGCTAGATCGTGTCAACGCAAGCAGTGGTGTAGTTACTGTAAAAGCGCCACACACCGGGATGTCACCTGCAGACGGAGATACCAGCAGGACGACGCGCACAAAGTTTCCGAGGAGGAGAGAGACAACGAGTATGCTTTCCGGGTGAGCGACACGGATGAAGTGAAGCAGGGAGCTCGCAGTGCTAATAAGAAAGGACTAATGGTGGACACAGGTGCAACCTTACATATCATCAATGATATTTCAAAGTTCAGGAATTTTGACGACACGTTCCAACCACTGAAACATTGTGTGGAGTTAGCCAACGGTGAAAAGACCAACGGAGTTGCGGAGCGCAGAGGAGATGCAGAGGTCTGCTTGATTGACAGCAGAGGACAACATCAAAACGCGACGCTGAAGAGGGCGTTGTACATCCCCTCTTACCCGCAGGACATCTTTTCTGTTAAAGCAGCGACTGTCAGTGGAGCAACTGTAGTCTTCAAGCAAGGAGAAGATGCCCTGATATGTAGAGAAGATTCAACATCCATGAGTATAACAGACTGTACTACTTACATACAGTGAATGGTGAGTGTGAAGACCAATGTAAGGGAGTATACGATATGCAGACATGGCATGAAATCTTAGGGCACTGTAATTATGATGATGTTCAGAAACTACAACATGTTGTTGACGGTATGACAATCAAAGGTAAAACAGACATGTCAGCCCTACATTGTGAAGTCTGCACCCAGGGAAAGTTTACCCAAACTAGGAACAGGGAGGCTGATGTAAGGGCAAAAGCACCCTTAGAGCTGGTGCACACGGATGTAGCAGGACCTATAGACCCAGTGTCCAGAGATGGGTATAGGTACGCATTATCATTCACTGATGATTTTTCCAGTGCAGTATTTGTGTACTTTCTGAAAAATAGGAATGACACAGTGCAGGCAACAGAAAAGTTTCTTGCCGACACAGCGCCATATGGCAAGATAAAGTGTATCAGGTCTGACAACGGTACTGAGTTTACGGGGAAACATTACCAAGCACTACTCAGCAGAAATGGCATTAGGCATGAGACCTCAGCCCCATACTCGCCACATCAAAATGGTACTGCTGAACGAAACTGGCGCACACTATTTGACATGGCCAGGTGTTTGCTATTGGACAGTAAGCTACCAAAAGAGCTGTGGACGTACGCAGTCCAGACAGCTGCTGTAGTGAGGAACAGATGGTTTAACAACCACACAAAGCAGACGCCTTACTCACTGCTTAAAGGGAAACGACCTAACTTGTCCAGAATGCAGAAATTTGGTTCAGAGTGTTATGCTTACAAACAGGACAAGAGAAAATTGGACGCAAGGTGTGAAAAGGGGATTTTTGTTGGATACGACAAGAACAGTCCAGCCTATATGGTTTATTTTTCTGACACTGGAAAAGTGCAGAAGCATAGACTGGTGAAGTTTATCAACAAAACAAACACGGAGAAACAGACACAGACTGACATGACACCTGTCGATGATGACTTTGAGCTGCAGCATAGAGTTACCAGTAAAAATACTGATGTGAGTCCAGCCCATACACAAGACCAGGTGCCAGTTCCTATGCTTGAAGTACACAACCACACACAGACACTTGAGCAAAAGAGATACCCTTCAAGAGAGAGGAAGAAACCAGAGTACTTGAGTGAATATGTGTCAGGAGACGAAGAAAGTGATGATCAAGTACTCACTAACATAGACTATTGTTATAGAGTAGCGTCTAACGTTCCTTTAACATTGCGAGAAGCTGTAACCTCACCCCAATCAGAGGAATGGGTTAATGCGATGGATGAGGAGTTACAATCATTAAAAGAAAATGACACATTTACCCATACAAACTTACCAGAGGACAGGAAAGCAGTGGGGGGTAGATGGGTGTATGCTATTAAAAACAATGCAGATGGGTCAGAAAAGTACAAGGCACGCTATGTTGCCAAGGGATACAGTCAGAGGAAAGGAGTGGATTATGAGGAGACTTTTTCTCCTACTGCCAACCTGACTAGTATCAGAGTCTTGATGCAAAAAGCGGTGCAAGAAGACTTGATCTTACATCAGATGGATGTCAAAACAGCCTACCTGCATGCACCAATAGATTTTGATATCTATATGGAACAGCCAGAAGGTTATGAGGTCAAATCTGGCACAGATACAAAGTTGGTATGCAAGCTGAAAAGGTCGTTGTACGGACTCAAACAATCAGGCAGAAATTGGAACAAGTTACTGCACGAGTATTTGAGTGAAAACAACTTTGTGCAAAATCCTTCTGATCATTGTGTTTACACAAAGGAGACCGAAAAAGAAAAGGTGATCATCTTAATATGGGTTGATGACATAATCATTGGTGCCAGTGATGAAAACGCACTGAAGGTTGTGAAGGAGATGCTCTCAGCACCATTTAAAATGAAAGACTTGGGAAAACTCAGACATTTTCTGGATATTGTTTTTGACCAAAGTGATGGATGTGTTAAGATGTCACAAAAGAGATGTGATGACAAAACCTGTTACACAGTCTAAGTTGACTAAGTTTGCAAAGTTCATGTTTGGAAAACTAACCACGTATGTGAAGTAATGTGCATGATAAAGGCAGAAGGGCCTTAATGTTTTTTATTTTTTATTTGTTTGTTTGTTTGTTAGAGTATGTACCAATGTGAGAGCAAGTGGGGGTGTTAACATATATGAGTATATCCCCTCCATTGTCACAATCTGTTGTATTTACTTTCCTATACATTATATACAGTATTGTGTGTTAAGCGGTGGCCAATAGGATGCCCCTGAATGGACATGTGACCTAGGAGAGGTCAAATGGATCTGCGTTCAATAAAGACGACTCAGTTCAAGTCAAACAGCCATGATGCTCCACTTGTGTTATTTGTACTGCCATAATATTCGGCCTAGCATTGGGTATGAACGCCGGGACCGTTGAGCGAACCATCTCTGCTAACACACACGCACACACACAGCTTTGTTAGCGTTTCAATCATACAGTATTTGCAGCCAGCATATAATAGTCCACTTGATCTGTTCATTATTCATTAATGTGAAGTAAGCTATCCGCCAGGTTCAATGATTACTTAACTTAGTTACCTGGTTTTCTTACCTCTGTCACTGTAGATTGAACAGCCCCCCGGCACTTTCTCCTTCTTGTCCTTCCACAGATGTCTGGGCAATGTCATTTTGTAGTCTATGCTCATACGTCAGTCTAAAAAAAAGATACATTGAACACTGTAGTTTAGTTAACGCAAACTGTAGTAACGTTAGCCCTTTTGGTAGTTAGTGTAAGCTAGTGAAGCTAGTGAATTACAAATAATATAATAACTGTTATATTTTTGACATATGGAAAGTTACAAGTAAGTTTAATACGTTTACATAGCTGCAATGTTTCTATATTTCGTTATTCCAATAATATCCCAGGTTTGCTACATAGAATTGAAAAAACAGGCATTGACTTGACTTGCCTTTCTTTTTGTGATAGTGTTAATGGTGGACGTTTTATATCCTTATTAAATGACATCTCTAGCGACTTTATTGAGGCTAGATAATAACATAATAACCTCTTGCCCTGCTGATATTGTTGAATATGACCCGTCTAGCTCCAAGTTGACATTAGCACAACACTGTAACATGGTTTCCATGGTAACGAGGACGGACCACGCAGCAGGACCCTCGCAGTTGACCGCGGCGCGCCTAACTAATATTCAAATTTTGTAAGAGGAAAACTTTCCTTTTGAAAGGAATTCACGTAGACTTTCTCCAACCATGGAAAACCGACAATTTGTTTGGCAATGCTTCTATACAGCTGTCAACTCTGACGTTTACCAATGACAGAAAAAAGTATTTCATATCAACTGCACCTTTCAGAAGGCCACAGTATAATAGGCCTAATATCCTAAAAATAAAAAACACACACGAACCAAATCATTTAAAAACGTTTGAGACACATTTAGAGACAAAAACACACTTCTTTCTGTTGTTCTGGAGTAAATAATACCTTCGTCAATTGATGTCCATGCATAGCAAAGCTTTAGATGCTCCACATTCTCATGTAACACATATGCTAACAATTGGGGATGTAGTTAAAAGTATATATCGTTAACGTTCTTAAAAACGTTCCATAAATGTAACTGCTGAAAAACTACATTTCCTAGCTGTCTCTCTCATTGAAAGCCTTTAACCAAGATAACAGCGGCGGAACTGTGTGTAGTCCTTTCCAGAGGCGGCCACACTAAAGCCAGCGTGCTGCGGAACGACTTTACCCAGAAGCCCCTGCTCCAGCCTACAGTTCACGCTGCTGCTTATCCGGGGATGTCACACCGCTGCTATTTTCTCCCCTCAGTCCCTCTCACTCTCAGCTTACAGCTCAAGCCCACTGACACGGGGCTTTGGATAGAAAGAAAAGGACAATACGATACACAACCGGGGCGAACATGGCAGAGCTCGCAGCGGGAATCCTGCCGTCAGGAGATCCTGCTTTTAACTACCAGGAGCACGAGCTGAACGAGCGGTTGAAGCACCTCTACCCGGCTGTGAACGAGGAAGAGACCCCGTTGCCCCGATCCTGGAGCCCCAAGGATAAATACAGCTACATTGGGCTGTCACAGAACAACCTGCGGGTCCATTACAAAGGTTAGAGAGCTAGCTAAGTCCCGATGGTCCGAGCAAGTAGCCACAACAGCTGAGAGGGTCTCAGCTCAAATCTGTCAATGTGCTGTTGGAGAGGGGGGGTCTCTTTCACTCGCATACAGTATGCGATTATGTTGATTGTGTGTGCGTGCGCGCGTGCGTGCGTGCGTGGATGCGCACTCTTGTTAAATCTAGTCTGAGCTGCCTCTCCTGTAACCTTGCTTTGTGTCATAAATGAGCAGAGGAATGGCCAAAGTGGGGGACAGTGAACTTGCTAACCCTGACAGTTGGTGTCACCCTCCGCCCCCCACGCTGAAATTCACCTTCAACAACACGACTCCTCTTTTTGTTTATGTGCGGTTCGTGACGTTATTTGTCCGCAGTGAAGTGTGCGTCGGACGTCCTCCACAGTTCGTACCGGACGGGGGACACTGGCAGCAGCAGCGACGCATCGAGCTTAGCGAACTAATGGTATTTAACACACAGGAGGCAGCTAACAGCTAACCGCTACCTCCTGAGCAGATACAGCAGTTAGCCCCGTGGCTAATGTCAGCTAACCGAGCTGTATTGATCTTAAACAGCAGCATACGCTGGCTACAAGGTGGAAACGGGTCAAACTTGTCGTCAACACATTACGACGCAGCTCACGCTGAGGGCAAAGCTGCAGTGGTTTAGTTTTTTTTTCTTTTAGCGAGCCACCAAAAAGAGAAAGAAAATTGCATTGTTTTGTTTCTCGCGTGATCTCAGTGGCGTTGTTCGAGAAGTCTTTTCCAGAATTGGTAAATATTTGTTTTTTCCAAAGCCTGGAAGAAACCGGATCCAACCGTTGAGGACGGTGCATGTGCCCTGAGCTCAACAACGGTCTCGCGTCCAGCCTCCAGCGGGCAGCCAGCTCGCTTCCAACAGCTGCTGCGAGGGAGGAGGCCTGTGCGCGTTGCATTAGGCCAAATCTCCCCATCTCGTAATCAATCGGTCGGTATCGTGTCAGATTTGGGCATTTCCACAACCAGGGCAGCTCTAACGTTGCCCGTCAGGCGGCTCAATCTATCATTTTTTCAGATAATCTAAACACCGTGAGTTATAGGCCCGCCAGGCCCATCAACTGGATTAAAACACAAAATACACACGTCTTTTTAACTCCCAAATCAAAACAAGGTGGTTCTTTTGAGAAGTCCTGTTCACAGCCCTTTGCCTGCCCTGTTATTTTTTTTCCACTAGCTCGCTCTGCATCTCAGGCGAAGTCAAATCCCCACAGAGGCACGGTGAGGCCTGCTGGCCTGCTGGCTGTTTACATCAGTGGAACATACAGAGGATGAGAGGATACAGGCGATGAAACCCATTTTGGAAAGCTTATTTGGCACGAATGTAGTGACGGTCCTGCGGTTGGATAAAGACTGGGAAGGCCTTTTTTATTTTATTGCTTCAAATCAAGACTCTCAGGCCGATTTGCCAGATATAACCCACAAATTACTGGATGCATAATGCATCAGATCCCTGCTGTTGAATTTAATATACGCCTGCGTTCAGTTTTATCAGTCGAGTAGATATTTTGGCCGCTGCTTTATTGATATGTGTTGAGGATGTGACAAATAGAGGTGTGGCATAGTTATTTTTTCACGAGCCTTCCATTTTCATCAGTACTATTGAGACCTAGGCCGTCTATCTCGTGTTTCCCTTGCACTCGTCACCGCTGTGGCATTGGCACAGAATGATGAATGGAGCCGTGAATGTCTGCAGATAAGATGTGTCATGTCATGTTGCGGTTATTTCCGTCGGTCATTGAGTCTTTATGTCCATGAAAAATGCCCAGATTAAGTGACACTGCACAATTGTTCTGGGCTGCTGTATAAATAGGTCTATTCTGGAGCGTGCAGGATCATTTCACTCTTGGTAGTTTTAGCTCCTGCTCTGTTCCCTCACCCTCGTGGTTTGAATGCTATTTTGACCAGTGTAGGGCTGCAACTAACGATTATTTTGATAATCGATTAATCGGTCGATTATTTCTTTGATTAATCGATGAATCGGATTTTTTTTTAAACGGCATTAAAAAGCTTTAATTTCCAACCCTTTATTCTAAAAAAGAACCTCAAATTCGTCAGAACTAGTTCTCTATACTACACTCACAAACACACCCTCATGTTCACTTGAAGCATATTCATTAAATTATTACCATCATTGTAGTGCAAGTTAAGTAAATGCATACAGCTAAAAAACAACCAAGTGCTATGAGATGAATTTAAAATGGCATTTGTAAATAAATGCATTAGAGGCTTCTTAGTTGATTTAATGGATCACCATGTGTCTCCCTTTACAGGCATAACATCAACTACCGTATAACCCACAGTATATGCGCAAGCGCACTGGACTACCGTATATGACAGCATTAAAAATTACAACACACACAAATATATTTGTCAACAATAACCGATATGGGACAAAGCACAAAATATCAGACAACACATTGAAAGATGAATGGTCCAAAAGAGGCGAGTAAATAAAAACGTGTCTTAGTCTTGCTAACTGCTTTACTGCTGTTATTAGCGAGCTAACGCTAGCTTGATCAGCTGGATGACGAGTAAACAGGAGGCATGTTACGTCCCGCACGTCAAAACGGGACAACGTGGACTGGGACCCCCCACGCTCGCACACCTTAGACGACTAGTCGAACAGACGTCTCTCCCTGCGTCATGTGACTCACAACAACTGCCGGCTGCTCTTTCCTCTACGTCGGCTCGGTGCCTTTATTTTTATTTTTGCTCCGCGCGCATCTCCGCAACTCATTGAGTGACGTAATAATCGCGCGACACAACGAATCGATAATGAAATTTGATTTGATTTGATTTTAATCTATTTGATCGATTCGTTGTTGCAGCCCTAGACCAGTGTGCCAATTTTCTCTGTTCAAGGCCATACGGTGTCTACGTAGTCCTGCTGTGCACAGAGAGATTTGTTTATCCAATTCTAATAGGTACATAAATGAACACATAAACAAACATACTGACTCAGTGGAAAATCACTAATGAGGAAGTCTCATTTACAAAAAAGTGTAGGCCCGTGAAGGATTTCTCTACTTTATTCTGATGTCAATGAGATTTCCTCTGTACATGTGTGTGTGCATATAGTGTTGTCTGTGCCTCTTGTAAGAAGTAATGAATGAATATATAACTAATTGAAAGTTAAATACCATCCTGTGCGTCTCTTTTCATCGCCCTCCAGAATGACAGATGTTTAGGGACTATATCGGAATGAAAATTTAAAAAGGAACGTGAATAAAAACATGAATAGGTTTTCTGTAGCTTCATGTGGGAGAAACTGGCCTGGCACGGGAACTTTCTGGAGTCTCCGGTGATTGCATCCATGAAGCAAGAGACTGCCGGTGCAATCTCCATTCTGTTCAGGGTAAACATGGCAGCCACGCCAAGGAGAAAAAACAACAACAACAACAACAACAACAACAACACACATGGCTTTTTGACACTGCCGTCTGAGTCGCTAATGTTGGTTCATTAAATGAATGAATCATTAAATGTATTTTGAGATAAAACCTATTCTAACATTGCCTGGGAACAAGACAAACCCCTGTTAGCTCATGTCAATTCTTAATGTCTAAACAACCAAGATGGCGGCTGACGTGGAACTTTTCTGTTGAAGCTCCCTTGGGTCAAAATTAGAACAAAGTGAACAGTATAGTTCTTGCTAAAAGAAGAGAAAATCACCTTCAATTCTCAAGCTTTTATCTAAAGAGTGACACAACCTCAGCTTATCATCCTCATCGGTAAAACTACTGCTTGATGTGTAAGTAAGATATTGTTTGCTAACAACTCTTTAGGATCAGTCATATGCAAATGTATTTTTGATTGCAACTTGTTGCACTGCAGCCAAGGGGACCACGAAAATCAATTAATGCAGCTTAAGCTTTAGTAATTGTGTCAGCGCTTCATTCCAAAGCTGATAATTCACCTTCTCACGACGGGAACCATCAGATGCTGACCCTGATCCAAACCATTCAGATGCAAAACCCTCCCCGCGTGATGTAGGTCACGGCCCGACAAAGCCACGGCATCTGACAACTACGTCCTCTGACGAAATCTTACATGCAATCTTTAGATCAACAAAGAAGGTTGGACATCCTCCAGCCCTTGGCTGCGCCTTAAAGTTCTGTCCTTGTGGGAGAAAAATAAATAAATGAATCACAAGCAGAATGACCAAGCACAAAGGAGTAATCTATTGAGAAGGTGCCTGTCGAGGTGCCAAGAGCGAAGACGGTACTTTTGGTCCAGTGATACAAGGATCTAATTTCTCATAGGAGCAGCCCCATTGATCCAAAATCCCAGAGCTATCTCATCTGGACACCTTGCACTTGTCAGGCTCAATAAACCTCTATATCACCGTCATAAGTGAAAGGTACTGCAGATACAAAAAGCAAAATGTCTGCACTGCTAGAAATCTTTGCCATCTGCTCATTAAACTGGTGTTAGCCTTTTCTTTTCTTTTTGGCTGTATCAATTTTTCATCAAGTGAGTTCTATAGGTGGGTTGAAGAGCTATGGAACCGGATTGGGATCACTGTATTTGAAGGTTGAATTTCCAGAATGCTTGCTGATCATTGAATGTCGCCCAAGGACTGATCCTGTAATTTCACCTCAGCAGTCCGACACACTAGCAGGACACTAACCCTTTAACTCGATTTTTTTAACTAGGTTGTTTTGTTGTAAAAAAGAAAAAGCACAGTTTATATCACACCTACCGAGTCAGGAAGTATGTAGGGTCATGAAATGGTTTAAAACGTCTTTTCATAGTTTGGTCTGTATTACTTATCTGTTATAATGATCTTTCTTTGCAACAGAAATAATAACGTGTCCATACCAAGCACCAGTAGCTAAACCATATCAGCTTCAAGTACTAGTGTTGTTAACTGTCACCCACAGTGTAGTGGAATACATTTGTCAGTCGTTGTTGGTGCTGGTGTTTGTTGCAACTTTTGACCCTTGACCTCTAGCCAGGCATGAAAATCCCTTACCTTTCGACGAAATTCGCCGTTTTGAAACCAAAATAGGTGACCTACGTGAATCGTGTAGATTGGGGGAGGGGGGGGGGGTTCAGTGAACTGCGAACAGGTGCGCGTGTCAGAAGGGAGCGCGAGATTCAGTGAATTGCGAAACGGGGGGAGTGATGGTTTTAATATTTTCTGGTATATCTAAGTTAAGTTACCCAGGAGCTTTGTTGACAGAGACTTAGCTAACGTTACCTACAGCTTGATGAATTGAGTCATTTAACACAGCAGGAGAGAACGCGACGTTGGCCTGCTAGCTAAAGCTACGGTGGAAAATGATTAGCTAACGCTAACGCTAAAACCAGTTGAAAACCCCTGCCTTAGAGGGGTAATATCCTTCTCACCTTTTTCACCCTTGACCCGTTTTCATGCCTGTCTAGCGGAGAGGACTGACGTCACAGCTGAAATGTGACGGCATGTTTTCTCGGACAGTTTATTTCAGTTAAATTTCATATGACAGTTACAATTTGGACGGCTGGTTTAGCAACCTTTTATGAAATTGGTGTTTTTTGTCTCTAACAATTTGAACCATCTTATTCGATGTGATTTTTTTTCATGTTGACTGGTTTCAGAGTCTGTATTGTTGAAAGCAGCCAGTGTCCGACGCGTCTATGCAGCAGTAGGGAGACCTGCTGGCCTACCGACGACTCATTTTCACAAGAAGCAGCTAAAAATAGACTAAACCAATGTTGCTGCAACCGTCGGACCAGACAAGCGCACATGTTTCAAACACATGACCGTATTGTGTGTATTAACTTTACAATTGTGTGTACTAATCTTTGCAATTTCTAGTGCCCTTCAAATAAATATGACAATTTAAGGGAACGATTGTCTGCGATTGATCTTCTGTAAACGCTGTACCTGGTGGATGAAATATGAAAAATTGAAGTACGTCATTTAGCTGGAGCTAAACAGAGTAATGAAAGCGACTTCATTTTTAACTCATGGTTTGACATTTTTGCCTGGGAAGCAATTAGGGGTTAGGTGTCTTGCTCAGGGACACTTTGACATGGGACATGGGGCAGCCAGGGTTGGAACCGCCCACCTTGCGGTTCCCTCTCCACTCCATGCGGTAGAACACAACACTTAGTTTCAGACAACTATCATATTTTGATCATAACCGTTTGACCTGTATGTACCGGCGTGTGTGATAGTAGCTGTAACCTTCACACAGCTTCAAGGTATCTGCTAACAGCAAGCTGCCTCGTTTAAGGTTACAGCCTTTCTACATTACACACACACACAGTTCACAATTACTTTATCAGAAAAGGCAGCGTCAGTCACCGGTGTGATTGCGTGTAACCAAATGAGATGCACATGTTTACTGTAGGGCCTAGGTTGCAGTTACACAACACGATAGTCTCTCCCTCTCTCTCTCTCTCTCCCCACCCGAGGGATTGCATAAGCAGACATTTGAACATAGAATGACGGCCCGTAATGGTTCTGCTTGATTCCAATTGGTCCAGAGACCACACATTTTTTACCCATCACTGTATGTAAAGTCTAAGACCTGTACGCACGCATACAAATCCATGTATTGTATGTATTTTATAATGCACTCATGAAAAAGGTCACCTTAGCAAAAGTACAAGGTACTTGGAGTGTTTTCTGAGCTCATTGTGCGCATGACTCATCACTGGACGTCATTTCAGCTCTCAGTGCATCAAGTGAAATTCTTTAGATGCAACTTTTATCTGTGGATTGATATATGGCCCTAGGAAACAAAATATGATGAGAGGAGCTTGTTGGTGAAACAAAGGCTCTCCATGGATCACATTTATCCAACTCTAAAACAAATCAGATCAGTGAAAAACAAAACAGCAATACCAGACTTTCACGGCACATGAGTTTGAAAATGTAGAAACATTTTTTTTGAATAGTCCACTGCCACACGTGAGGAAAAGTTTAACTGGGTCTAGCAAACCCACCTGCGGATTTCCAGCACAATCTCCAGAATTCTGTGGCATATCATTTTTTGAGTGCTTTGGATTTCAGTTTGCAGTCTGCTTTGCCTGTGCTGGTTTTGGAATTAAACTCCGGTTTTGGGGAAACTTGTCTTGTCTGCTGCAAAATCTTTCCAAATGAAGAAGCAAACACTGAAACACATTTTCTAGAAGAGTTAACGTCTCGTATGACGTTCTGTAACGACGATGTACATGAACGCCTTGTAATTCTCCATCATTGTCTTGCAGGCCATGGTAAGAACCACAAGGACGCGGCCTCTGTGCGAGCCACACACCCGATCCCTGCTGCCTGCGGGATCTACTACTTTGAGGTCAAGATTGTAAGCAAAGGTCGAGACGGGTAAGCAGATCATTTTTGTTCAGCCTTGATAGAGTGGTGAAGGGGCGATGTTTGGAAGTTAGCATAGCACTGGGTTGGGTACCAAAAACCAGTGCCATATTGTTTCTTTATAACAGATTTCAGAGCTTCTTTTAGGTGCCTGAGCCAATTCAAATTGTAGTTTATTTTAGTTTATTTACACTACTGATGACTCCGTCCTCTAAGCAGCTAACGGTAGCCTAACGCTTGTTTAGCTGCACTAGCTAGCTAACCATCTACCTTCTATTTAGAATTATCTAAGTCACTGTTTGCCCGACCGTTATCAAAGTCTGTTTATTTGCTGCACACAGCAGTTCCGCCCACATGGACAAACACGTGCCTTGGCAATAAAAACCCCCTGTTAATTTAGTTAATCTTTTTGTGCTTTTTTAAAAAGTATTGGTTAAGGCACCGTTTAGGCAGCAGTATTTGAAAGAAAGAAAAAAAAAAACGATACCCCTACTGTTCATGTGACTGTTTAAAAGAACCTTTTAGTGTTTTTGCACTTCATGTAGCCGAGGAGTTTAGACATTATTAGGCATGTTATCATTCAACATTGAAGCAATATAAATGTCTTATTTCTGACAAAAAGGCCGATGGGGTTTGTACATCGCAGTTCGAATTGTTGTAGAAAATAAGCCCTGTGGAAAAGAAAAATCTTGACGACACAAACAGGTTCCGCTCAGCAAGATGATTCTTTTGTAATTTGGCCACTTTATTGACGGCCTTTTTTAACTTGTGTATTTTATATCATAGAAACGAAATGTAAACCACATAAACGGCCTCTTACCAAAAACGCATTAACCTCATGACGAGGGAACCAAAATTGCTACAATGGAGACTCATTTCCATGTTTTAGGATTCTTGCAGCACTCCGGCAACTTGGGGGACGTGTAGGCAAGAGCTCAGAATAAATTTGGGTAATCAGAGACTGTAATCATTCAACAAAAAGACTTGTTTAATGGGTAATGTTGGGAAAAGGGGGCTGGAGTCAAATACATCAAAAGGTTCTTCCCGCTCTTTGGTCCTACGTCACTCGTCCTGTGTAGACTGAGCAGAGGAGCGAGGTGAAGGGATTGAGTTACATCTTTTCAATGTGTCTCCTCTCAGGCTCTTGGGGACATCCCAGTCGTTGTTTCATGCTGCTTCAGAGCCCTGTCACAAGGGCTGGGCCAAAAATCCATTATTAGTATTTAGAAAGATTCTGACGGTATCCCGGCATGTTACGGTATTGGTTTTTCAGTAAACACATTAATTCATTGACCCGGAAAGGACCGCCGGCTAATCGAAACAGCTAGTTAGCTTGTTAGCGTGTTAGCTGGTTATAACACTACAGACAGACTTTGCAATGAATCGTTTTGTTATCTAACGTAACTTGTCGGGTTTTCCAAAACCAAAGACCCTCCAAACGGACTCAGCTCGTCTCTTGGGCACACGTTGTGTTGTTGCATCTCTGGTCTCTCGTTGTTCCTCCTGTATCTCTCTTTTCCGTGTTTTCATGTAGCAACAGAGTTACTTCTTGTTGTGAGCTGTACCCAGCATGCAGGTCGGCAGGGTCATTTTTTATAAATGTACAATTATTAGTGTTACAAATTGTTTATGTGTCACAAGCTGTTATGATGTGATGTTTTACTCTGTTAAAGAGTCTTTGTTGTGGGTTTTTCATGATTGTTATAAAGTTATAACTATGACTCCATCTCGACACACGTAAGACAAGTAGCTCCGACCGCTGGGCTCCGTTAAGGCGTGTAAAAATAAATTCTGCCACCTGCCAAAGAGCAACATCAGTTGTTATGGCGTATCACCGGTATGAACGGTACGTGAGAAGATCATACTGTACGGAAATCTTATACTGGTACTGTTTGAACCGGTACACCGCCCAGCCCTACCTGTCACTATGTGTCTCCTCTGATCCGGCTGATGGGCTGCAGGTGTGGCCAATGCCAGGCGCCGATTGGTTGCAGCATGTGCACTGGGTAGTACAGACCCTCTACCCCCTCCCCCAACCTGAACCTTTGGATCTGCCCCCTGGGTAACATTGGCTTTGCCCCCTGGGTAACATTGGCGTAGCTCCTCACCCCGCTTCACCACAACTCCCTTGCCTGTGCCCTATGTGGTACGTTCACTTTTTCAGTGTTAGTACTGCACACATTTTTCTGATGCTTAAACAAAATGAAAATAGCTGATGTGATGGAATCAATAACTGCTTAGTGTTTCCGATTACCATTATATTACTCCCCGCCCCCCCCAAATGGCACCCCTGCACTGCCTGGAAGGTCGGGTTGATTTACTTTCATTTTATTTTATTTTTAGCGTCAGATCACAACAACAAGTCCTTTAAGGTTACATTTACGTTAGAAGTATATACCTTGTTCCTTTTATTAAACCTAATAAAAAACTCATTGTATTTATCTTATTCACGCGATGGCAGCGGACGTCTGTCCCCCACTGCTCTCTAAAGACTGTAAACCAAGGGACACAACGACTAAATTATACCAAGCTATTGTTTTTATTGTGTGAAGTCTCCGTTTCACGGTCAGGTCCATGGATTCGCCAACAGGAGCCAATCTCATGGCACGTACCTCCTAAGTGGACGTTCTGATTGGTTGGCACTCACAATGCAGGAGTTAGTGAACATAACATTCAGATGTTATTGCTAGTAGCAACAAACAATAAGTCTTAAATTAAATTTCAGGCTTTTTTTTTCTCAGTTACCATAGCAATGGAGGCTGATTGCTCAGGCATGACATTAACTTGTGTTACTGTGAAAATTGGTACAGAAATTTGGACTTGACAAAGGGTGATCGATGAACGCCTTCGCTCTCGATTACCAAACGACAGCGTTACTTCCGAAGCACGTGGGCCTCAGCCGTGCTTCGAGATGAATGTTAGCGTAGCGCGCTAGCATGCCAACATTATTGATGGAAATATTGTAATAGCCTGCTGACTAGCCAAATGATATCTAAAAAGAAAACCGACTAAACATTCAACAGGCTAATGTTAAACATTAGCCTGTTGAACTAACATGCCAAAAGCATTACATCCGTTTTTTAGTAAGTCTAGTAAAAGACTTGACGAAACTACACCAGAAGGTGTCATTCATTTTAGGTTAGCTAGGTCTGTCTGTAATTCTGCAAAAAGTGACAATCCTCACTCGGCCAGTTTCCGTTGTTTTGATGAGGTTAGTCATTCCGGGGTTACCGTGATGATGAATTTGTGAACGTGCTTCTCAGTTTGCAGAAGAGCAAACAACTACTTATCTTGATGTGACTGTTCCAAGTCGATTACCAAATACTCACACAGAACATGCGTCGGAGCATTGTTTGTCTTGTTGCCAACATCTGCATCAGCTGTCGTCTGACACTTTCCTGCCCAGACATTTTCACCAACTGTGGTGGAAATTATGTTTAAACTAATTTCAGTGTCAGCAAAAATAGGGACGTTACAACCCAAAAGTGGTTCAGCAACATGCTCTGACCCGTCAGGACAAAAACCAGAGTGTTGAAAGTTCTCTGTAGCCGCCACAAATGCGGCTCCTATGCGCTCTACAAGCGCGTTCCTGGTTTCAAAACTCTGCCAATCACTCCTAATAGCTTGTCGAAGCATCCCAGCATCAGCTGTCTATTACTGAATCTTACAGACACAAACCACACTGATGGCATAAAGTTAAAACACTCAACGAAGCCCCATTATTAATGGACATGGCTGAAATCCGGTCATCATAGTCGACAAGTTGTATTGGGGCGCTCGCTCGTTTTGCTTGACGCACGCTCCTGATCTTGAATCTAGAATCGATTGCTCTTCCTTGGGTTCCCGGATGTTGCGGTTAGAATTTTTTTGCATTGAATTTTTGCATTGAATTTTTTTGCATTGAATTTTTGCATTAAATTTTTTGCGGTTGAATTATTTGCGGTTGAATTTTTTGCAGTTGAATATTTTAACGTTGAAAAACATTCAGATACATGATTTCAATGCATAAATATTCAGTGCTAGAAATTCAATCACCTTTTTCTTTCAAAATCCGGCATAAATATTCAGTGCTAGAAATTCAATCACCTTTTTCTTTCAAAATCCGATGACACAGATTTACTTCCATAATCCAACAACTTCCCGAAAAACGTCTTCCAGTTGACTGGTGTGTTACCTTGCGGCCACATCCGGCCTGCCGGGGCGTCCGGTGCGGCCCGCCGGCGCGGAACCTGAAATGAGTTTGAGACCCCTGCCCCAGACGTCTCTGAGGAAAAGGCAGGAAACTTGTGAATAACACTGTCCATCCGGCTCGGCCAAGAAATAAGTCATTGCTGGGTTTGAGTGGTGTCATCGACATGTGCAGAAGCTCGCTGAGACTTTGCCACACGCATTTTACTGACAATATTGACAACTCGTTCAATTATCCTTGTGAGAGGGACTTGATGATGATGTCACTGCGGCCCCCGACGCTTTCAACGCTTCCTGTCACTCATGACTTTCTTCCTTTTTGAGGGAGCTCACTTTGCCATACAATGACAGTGGAATTCAGGAGGAGCGCCACCAACACTGCCTCACCACCCACCCCTCTTCTTTCCTCTCACCATACTCAACAACCTGAAGTGGGCCTCCAACATCGTCACCATCAGGAAGAAGACCCAGCAGAGGTTGTAATTCCTGCGCCTGCTCAGGAAGTTTCAACCTCCCCCAGGAGCTGCTGGTCCTGTTTTACTCTGCCATCATTCAGTCTCTTCTCTGTTCTTCCGTCACCGCCTGGTTTGGATCGGCCACTAAACAGGACAGAAACGGACTACATTGGATCATCAGGTCTGCAGAGAGAATCTGGTTCCAGCCTGCCCTCCATCCTGAACTTGTACACCTCCAAAGTCAGGAAACGGGCAGGATAGATCGCTGCAGACCTTCACACCCTGGACACAACCTGTTTATCGAGCCGTCATCTGTAACACCACTAACAAAGACTGTATAGTTGTTAAATGTTTAAACCTACACCGGTTTTCCTTTTTTAGTGTTGTCCTTGTCTTTATCTTTTACATTTTTCTTGTTTATTTGTAAAAAGAAACCGTATGTACAGTATGTGGCGAGCAAAGGTAAATGAATGCGCCACTGAAGCTGATTCTAACTGATCGTCACTCGTTGGGGCTAAGAAAAGAGATCAGAGGTGGTTTATTCAAAGTTTTTCTGCCTGTCGTTGATCTGATTATATTTCAGAGTTAACCCCACCAAGTGGTGATACCCTGAGGTGGTTTGGGTTATGTGATTGCCTGCTGTGTAAAATCGACTCGGGTTTAAATTTTTCTTCTCATGTTGTGTGCAGGTACATGGGCATCGGCCTGTCTGCCCAGGGAGTCAACATGAACAGGCTGCCTGGTGAGTAACATGTGCATGATGTCACCATAACATAACCGGCGTGGAGATGGATAGATTATTATTATTATTACTAATAAGTCCTTGTTATATTTGTAACAAAGCTGACACTACTTTAAGGATGTTACAGTGGGCAAAAAGGGTAGATGTGTATATAAATTAATGAAAGGATTGTGAACCTCAACTTTCTTAATTCGTTATTGGCCAAACGTTTCGAGCCATTTGACCCCATCGGCAAATATTAGAATCAAGCATTGGTAGTTCTGTGTGGTGGTTGGTTTACTTAAGCCTTTATGTGTGTCATGTCCTTAAATGAACTCTCCGGACGAACAAAGGACATGTTTGATCAAAAAGTTACAATCAACAATTTAATAAAGCTGAAGGCGGGAAAAGTCTCAGCAGAGAATTTGCCAGCTTCTGCAATCCACGCGCCACCGAGTAGTTCAATGACTACATACTTTGTCTCCTGCTTCCAACAACAAACCTCAAACAGGCCAGATTCAGGTATACATACAGATCAGAAAAACAAACAAAGAACGTCTTCTGGTGCGTTCAATGTAACTAGTCATTTTGACACTTTTACTGATTATGGACACTGTATGGTGCTTTCAATGTTACCTTGGATTTTGAATGTCTCTCTGCCAATGGACATGGCGGTGCCATAAAGTATTACATTGCATGCATTTCTTTATTAAATACATTTTTTCAAAACCATAGCTGTACACTGATATTGTATTTTATTAATTAATCAAGTTTTGAGCTCGGTCGTCAGTTTGATTGTAATACTCCACACATGACTGACTCGATTTTTTGATTTCTCTCGATTCTCTCTAGAACGATTCGGTCTCGATTTCAGAAAAGTTAATAATCGGAATAAAAAAATAAAAAAAAGTCCGTCCGAGATATTTTCTCGCTCGCGGAGCGTGAACTGAGGTTAGTCTCTGCTCGCGCTCGAAGGTGTTTTCTTTTTGACAGTAAGGGGGCGGAGCCAGTCACCATGGTCTCTACACCTGATTGGTTACAAACCCCGTCTTTGGATTGGCTGGAGTGATGCATTCACACAACTATAGAAGCCCATTTCCGCACTAATGTAAGGGGATAAAAAGTCGAAATTATGTTATAAAACGTTGTCAAAAAACAATCGCCCCCCTTCGGTAATCGTAGTGGACCGTGGATGATGTTGTGTTCAAAAATGAAGAAACGCCGGATGGACAGAGGTCATCGCTGATCAAAAGGTTAAAATCAAATGTATTTAATAAAAGAGATGGTGTTGTGGTAAAAAGAACATCTCAGCTGAGGAGCCGCTGGTCTCAGCGACCAACAGGCCCCAGGTCCGTCCTTTGACCATCCCTAGTGCCCGTCTGTCGCCTCCACCAGCGAACTCGAGAACAATGGTTCCTACAGGTATTTATAACAATGCTTAAAGGTGTGAAAGTTAGTGTCCACACCTCTGGGAGTGGTCTTCTGGTGAGTTCAATGTAACTCGGATTTCGAATGATCCTTAGTCAATATCAGTTGTTGTTCAAGTATTACATGCATGCATTCCAGTTGATTACATTACATCAAATACAATCATAACTGCATTGGTATTATTCTATTACAGTTGCAGAATTACAGTGGTTTTACAATATTGTCATTACTTTATTGATTACACGGTTTCAGAATCATGGCTGTATTCTGGTGTACACTATATGCATTTTTATTCATTTTATGAACCGGATCGTCAATTTGTTTCTAATATCCTACACTTAACGTACGTGTCTAACTCAAGTCGCGTGTATGCGTTATGTCACAAAAGGGACATTTTAAAGAACAAACCACCATCGTTTCCTCTGTGTGACCAAGTACTTTTGTTTCTGAGCTGGGAGTGGGAATATGGTGACACAGCTTCTATCCTTAACATCACATGCCATGGCTGCATCCAGAGAACAAAAGTGCTGCTATAAAGATTTTAAAAGAAAAAGAAAATCACCCAAGCCTCTTTCAACTCATACAAACGTGCATTGTGTGGTGGCCCGTGACTGTCTGCGTTATCGTTTTGTTGGAAAATAGCGTAGAGACATTCACATGGCCACGTCGTTTATTGCAGCAAGTCTAAAATGGATTTGGAAAAACACACTCACACACACACATACGGGGACACACGTGAGCGGTTTAGCGATCCCTGACACGGGGATCGTGGGAGGAAGCCCAGTGGTCCCTGGAGCCTGAACGAAAAGCCTCTCCAAGCCAATCGGATCACTGCTCTATTCTGACCAATCGTGTTCTGGGGCCTGTTTGACCTGCTCGTATTAGATGAGATCGGTCCAGTGGCCCTCGTTTGTGGAATGCCGTGGCACCAGTTCGGCAGACTGAGAATCCACTCTTTAACACACACACACACACACACACACACACACACACACACACACAGGTCAATCATACTTGACACATTGAGTAATGAACAAAGAGTGCTCTCCAAATATGCTCCCTCAGTAGTTATAAAAATGTCTGATTGCTATAGGTTTGTGATACAGATGGTCGGTGGCAGTGGTAGACAGATTACTGTGGATTGCCTTAGCTCTGACTAAATTGCTGCATTTGTGTTCTAACTCTGCGGAATTATTTCTGTGTGTGTTTGTGTCCGGGATGGACTGATCTCGTCTTTAAGCGTGTACTTGTTGGTTGTTTGCGTATATGTATGTGTGTGTGTGTGTGTATATATATAATTAAAGTTAACTTTTAAGATTTATATTTCTTATAATAAAACTAACGAGTAATCGTTTGACGTAACGTTTCCCTCACCCCCGTGCTGTGCCTTCATAGATGGTAGTGCTGAGCGGTATGGCCCTAAATCCATATCACTGTATTTAGAAAGATTCTGACGGTAAACGCATTAATTCATTGACCCGAAAAGGACCGCCCGCTACCCCAACAGCTGTCCGCTCGCAACTGGGTAGCGTGTTAGCTCGTTAGCTTGTTAGCCTGTTAGCTTGTTATGGCTGCTAGAGGCTCGACAGAAAATCATTTTCTACGTCAGATTTTCCAAAAAATAAATGTACAATTATTAGTGTTACAAATTGTTTATGTGTCACAAGCTGTTGTGTCATAGTAATTTAACCTGTTTGTTGTGGGTTCATTGTTGTTATAACCATGACTCAATCTGAACACTAGTAAGACAAGTTAGCTCTGACCGCTCGGCTCTCCTCGATGACATGACATAAAATAAATTCACCTGCCGAAGAGCAACGTCAGTTGTTATGGCGTAACGGTACGTGAGAAATTCATACCGTACGGAAATCTTATACCGTTTGAACCGGTGTACTGCCCAGCCTTAATAGATAATATTCTGCATCTCTTGGTTGTAACGTTAATGTTGCCTTTCTATCATCTCAAACCTGCCTGCTCAATCTCCTCTGACCTCTCACATCAACAATGCATTTTCGTCCACGCAACTGTCGCTCACTAGATGTTTTTTATTTTTCAGGCCATCCCCTTTAAACCCTAGAGATGGTTGCGGCAGGGTTCGTACGGTCATGGAAAACCTGGAAAAGTCATGGAATCTTTAAATGCTCATTTCCAGGCCTGGAAAAGTCATGGAAAAAAATAAAATCCCAAAAGTCATGGAAAAGTGTTATATTCATATTTTTGTCGTTCATTTACGCTGAATTTTAAATCATTTAATTTGATTTTAAAGTAAAGATATAAGCAGGCATACGCTCTCAACTCGCCAATTATTCGCGCTGCGAGTGAACGCACCCTAACACGTGACATGCCGTCCGCTTTCCTGAGTTATCATAACAGTAGCTCTGTTCGTCAACGGTAAAATTCACTATGCCAGGAAAATGTTGATTTAATAATCCTTGGCTGCTTTGGGATAAATTCAAAGCATGGATTACAACCGACCAAGATCCGGGAAGAGCAAAATGCAGGTTGTGTGGAGGCAAATCTTTTGACATTTCGAACATGGGGGGAGGCGGCATTAACTAGCCATGCGAAGGGGAGCCGACATCGGAGCGCTGCTGCTAGCGGAGCGACAGTGACCCCTATCTCCGTCCTTTTCGCTTCAGCGGCTACGGCAAGCGCTACGCCGAGTGCGCTGCTTGCTTCGGCCAACAAGCAGACGACGTTAAACGATGGCGCGGTTACGAAAAATGACATTCTCACCGCGGAGGTAATGTGGGCACTGAAGGTTGCCAATTCGCATTTTTCTTTTAAGTCATCCGAAGATGTCAGTCAGCTCTTTCGCCGGATGTTCTCTGATAGCCAGATCGCGGTGCAATTTGCTTGTGGCGAAAGCAAATGCTCCTATCTCTGCTCGTTTGGGCTCGCGCCCCACTTCAAGAGTCTAACGTTGTCCAGCGTGTTGACTCAAAGGGCCTATGTCATTTTATTTACAATCCTCATTGTTAGTTTGAACACTACATTTTCTCAATTTTTCATGTATATATACCGAGATTTCACTAAATATTTGGTCATGGAATTTGGTTTAAAGTCCTGGAAAAGTCATGGAAAAGTCATGGAAATTCATTGGTCAAAATGTGTAAGAACCCTGTTGCGGTTCAAAATCCCAGTAGGTGAGCAGTTTGTGCCCGTCTGGCACCAACAACCACGGCGAGTTCAAAGTCAAATAAATCCCGTTTCTTCCCCATCCGGATGCTCGGTTTGAACTTCAGCGAGTTGTCTTGGCTACGAGCTGCAACCATGTGATGTCATTGGCTGATTAGGAATTTGTGTTAACAAGCAATTAAACAGCTGTACCAAATAAAGTGGCCAATGAGTGTATACATGTGTGTGTGTGACCTTATATTTCTATATGTTAGTGTGTATCCCTAACAGTACAACGTTCTCCACTGCTGACCTCTGTGTCTGATCCTGCTGTGGAGGCCTGCCCATTTCATTAGCATGTTGGACCAGTGAGCCCGGCTTTAGAGGCAATATCCGTGTCAGCAGATTAATCGAATAGCTCACCATAAACACACACACACACACACTCTCACACACCCAAGTGCACACACATAATGCATGGAGAGACAGCACAGTAGACGCTCAAGTTCAAAAGAAGGCGCCACATGACACGGAAACAGGTCCCCACAAAAATGTGAAAAAGCCATGGGTTTAAAAGTGTAATGTAAGTCGCTTTGGATAAAAGCGTCTGCTAAATGACCTGTAATGTAATGTAATGTAATATCATAGCGCGGCTGGACTACGACCTACTTTTGCTAACCCCGGGCGGCCTGGGATTTGAGGGGAGGGACCACGACGGGGCAGCAGCGAGCTGAGACTCTGTGTGACTCGGAGTCCCACCTCATTGTCAGCGCTTTGTGGATCCAGAATGGATGTTCTTACGGCTGCTTTAGTTTCTGTTGTGTTGCATTCAAAGAGAGATTAAAGTGATTTCTGCTTATGCTTGTGTTTCGTCTTCAGGGGGACATACAGAGATGTGTCTGCTGTCAGTGTAGCTCCGTTGGACGGATACGTGTAAATCACTCACATAGAATGTGGTGTGTATTCATATTTGGGGCATTTGAGTTGAGACTACACATTTGCTCATGTTGTGACTACTTGGCCGTCTTCATCTGTGCGGTCTTCTTTTTTACTCAGAGGTTCTTTTATCAGTGAGAAAACATGGTTAATGTTGAGTACACAGATATAAAATCAGAGCAGTGAATGTACTTATGAGAGCTCCCTCACGTTTGATAACTCGAATAGTAGTGGTTTCTTTTAATGCAATGTTTTGGTGATTTTAAAGTTTCCCTTCAAATCCTAAAGGAGTATATGATGTTGGACTTAAAATATTGGTGAAATATGGGGGATTAGGGTGAAAGGGCAAGCCTGGCTCTCTCCTAAGTGACACCTCTAAGGAACTCGTTATACTGTAGCTTGTTTGAAACTACAATTCAATTATTTCTGTTCCTGACTTTAATAATGGATACATCAACTCTGTAGGCCTGTATACAAATTGTTTAAATGGTGCAACGACTGAAGGCAACCTTTGAACAGTGTTTTCGTCCAAACAGTGTTTCTTTTTTTTCTTCCCTAATGTCTCTTTTCTGTGAGACGTCTAGTGAAACTACAAGAAAACTAGGATTATTCCCATCATTTGTCCTGTGAATCTCACAGCTCTGCTCAGACAAAACTAAACTTACAAACACACTTTTTTCTAAATTAAGTCTTGTACCTTTTTGAGTGACAAAAGCCTGCCGCTTGTATTTTTACAGATATTTAATTGCCAAAAAGCATTGATCTCGCTAGCAACTGGTTTTAAATAACTAACTTTTTTTTAAAGTGTCTTTTTTTAAGAAAGGCAATTCTACTTGTTGCAGTAGGAAAAGCACAGATGTCAATAATAAAACTAACTAACTATTCAATTTTACATTTTTCCATTGTTGATGTTAGTAGATGGCGCTATTGTTAGACACACTAGGGCCTCCACTACAAGGACAAGTAAAAATGTCTGCTTTAAAAAATACCCTTCCCTCATAGTCTTGTTTTTAATTCGTACCAAAAGAACTCATTTATTTCCAAATAAACTCCTTGAAAACTAAGCAAAACGCTTAGTCTGCTTTAATAAATACAGCTCAGTTACAGGCGTCGACAACAATGCATGACCTCCTCCTCCTCCTGTTGGCAGTGACTCACCAGTTTGTTTGCATAGAAGCGATCCGCCTGCTGGTCACCCATTTCACTGCTGTGTGTGTGTGTGTGTGTGTGTGTGTGTGTGTGTGTGTGTGCACAGCAGTCGATGAGTAACCGTCTCCACTCCTTCAGCAGCAACTTCCGCCTCGAGCGAGTCGTTTCACCTCAGATGCTGCGCTGGTTCTTAGAAGCAGTGTTTATGGCGAGCAGCTCTCTCTCGATGTCTGAATAGGGGGCAGACTAATGCTGTGAAGCAACACGCTGAACTCCTGCAGTTCTGTTGTCAGTCACAGGGGTTTGGCCTTCATTTTTGGGGTTGGGGTCGTCGTGGCGCAGGGGTTAGAGAAGGTGTGCTGGGAAGCACAAGGTTGGTGGTTCGATTCCAGGCTGCCCCATGTTCCATGTCGAAGTGTCCCTGAGCCCTGACACCTAACCTAAGTGTAATGTAAGTCGCTTTGGATAAAAGACCTGTAATGTAATGTAATTTGCAATTTCTTCGAGTGTAAAAAAAGAAACTCACCCTGCTCACTCTTTCAGGATGGGACAAGCACTCGTACGGCTACCACGGAGACGACGGCCACTCTTTCTGCTCCTCCGGGACCGGCCAGCCGTACGGCCCGACCTTCACCACGGGGGACGTGATTGGCTGCTGCGTTAACCTCATCAACAACACTTGCTTTTACACCAAAAACGGCATCAGTTTAGGTCGGCGCAACACGTGGTCTCCCTGGACATGAATTGATTACAGTTGTGTGACACATACAGTAGCGTTGTGTCTGCTACAGCTTCATCTATAGCTGGAAATCCTCATGTTTCACTATTAACCGTTTGTCCTGTTGTCCCTCAGGTGTAGCATTTACAGACCTCCCTGTAAGTATCATCATATCTTTATCTCAGAAGTATACAAACTTAACTTGCTTTCTTTTTCTCAGTTCAGAGTTTTGATAGTATAGCATTCGGCAGCCATGAAAACAATCAAATCTGGTTCTATCAGCAAACCGGTTTGCTTCTGGAGAAAAAGCCAAAATATGAATTCAGCTATATTAGTTTTCTGCACTTTGAGCTAATGATTATTGTTGTTATTAATATTATTTTATATTAAACACAAGTGTAGCTGTAGAGACAATGACAATACATGGATGGTTTTCATATTCTACATGCGTGTCCACGACTAATTGCAGCTTGTGTTTGCAGTCGGTTTGGTAACCAACCTTTTCGTGTCCAGTGGCCGCATTAGCTGGAACATTCCCCAGAAAGAAAACATTGTAAAGTCCAAACATCCACTTTAACAGTTTACTGGCAAAATGTTTTTTTTTTTTTAAGAATAGAACAAGAACTCAAAATCACAGTTGTCGACCTAACCAGCATTTATGGTTTCATAGCCTGTTGGTGTTTTTTGTTCATTCTAAAATAGTCCATCTAAAACAGTATGTACTCACTGACCGCAACTTAACAATAATCACAGTTGAAAGAAAGTTGTGAGGCTTAGGCACAAAGTTCATTTTTGCATTTCAAGTATCCTTTAAATGGCAGGTTTTTATATTTTGTGGATCATTTGCAAGTGTCCCACTTCGTATAAGCTAATAAACTGATAACTATGACGAAACTTATAGCTTTCTCATAATAACCAGACACGCACTCTTGTATGTGATAAGAGTCCTCATTTCTTTCTACACCCTCTACCAGCCCAACTTGTACCCCACCGTGGGGCTGCAAACTCCGGGAGAGATCGTAGACGCCAACTTTGGCCAGCAGCCGTTTGTCTTCGACATCGAGGACTACATGAGCGAATGGCGAGCCAAGATCCACGGCATGATCGCCCGCTTCCCCATCGGAGAGCGGCTGGGCGAGTGGCAGGTTGTCCTGCAGAAGTAAGCTTTAGTCACCGCCGCTCGCTGAACACACACACACACACACACACACACACATCCGTGTTGCTGTTGAGTGAGTTTATCTGAAAGCCTTTGGGATGACGGCTCAGAGCAGCTGTTCCATAGAGCTCCACTCCTGTCAAAAATGTATTAAAAAAGCGTCTCTGTTGCACTGGGTGACACATTACCTTGAAGATTGGCACCGTAATTTATTTTGATTAAATCCCACTGACACCTTCCTGTTGCTGTAAATACTTATCAGATCTCCAAAATTTATATTCATCTACTGCGGAAAATACTCCCCAACAACTGCACCATTTACCAATGTGTGAGTGAGGTTTGCTGAACTGTGTTTGGACATTTCAATCAATGTTTAATGATGAAACGCTTCGTCCATGGGCTTTAAAAAAAAAAATGCCAATAAGAAAATTAGCATTGTTTGTCGCCTATAGGAACCAGTGTGCTCGGGGCCAAAAGCCACAGTCAGGAAGCCTTAGAGACGGACTTACTCACCGTTGATGGGATCAACAACAACAACATGAATATAGAACACGCAAACTCATCCTCTTTAAGAAATTCAACCTTTAACCATTTACCTTCCGTTATGTTCCGTCTCCAGTATGGTGTCTAGCTACCTGGTGCATCATGGGTACTGTGCCACCGCTACAGCCTTCGCCAGAGCCACAGAGACTCTGATACAAGAGGACCAGACGTCCATAAAGAACAGACAAAGTGAGTGAACCAACCGACCACGTCCATATTGTGACGTCACTCAAAAGGGCCAAAGAACGGCCCGGGCAGCTGCCCGCCTTTACAACTTTTCTTAGTCAAATATTACTTATTTTAAAAAGGAATTCTCTCCGTGTTTGATGACTCGGTGGTCTCTGCTGTCTGCGTCGGTTCCTCTTGATCATTTTGCCGTGAATAGCCCTGTGTCTCTTTGGTCCGATAGGAATACAGAAGCTAGTGCTGGCAGGACGGGTGGGCGAAGCCATAGAGGCCACTCAGCAGCTTTACCCCACCCTCTTAGAACATAACCCCAACCTACTCTTCATGTTAAAGTAAGTCAGTGTTTGGAGATGGAGGGCAGGGTGGAGGTGCTGTATGAAACTGTGAGGCCGAGCGTTGATCGTTTCCCCTTGAGAAACTCGCTACCTCTCGCTTTTTATCATTTATTTGAATCCGCCATTGTGACGTCAGTGTGCCTCTCCTTTTTTTCTTTTTTTAGGTGTCGTCAGTTCGTGGAGATGGTGAACGGCACAGACAGCGAGGTCTGCTGCTTGAGCGTTCGCTCCCCCAAGTCACAGGACAGTTACCCAGGCTCCCCCGGCCTCACCCCCCGCCACGCGGCCGGCAACGCGCACCTGCACGCCGCAGGTACACATGCTCACCGCCGCTACGCCTCTGGTCTATTTTTAAGACCAACAGATCGTCAACGATGGAAACAACGTGTTCTTTTTTAAATCCGACTTGCAGGAGCCGACAGCCCAACCTGCAGCAACGGAGTGACCCCCCCCGCCAAGTCAAAGAGCCACGGCTTCACCGGCGGCGTCAAATACGCCAGCGTGTCGTCCTCCTCCGCCTCTGCCTCCTCCTCCACCTCCTCCTCCCCGTCCTCCGTCAACTACTCAGAGTCCAACTCCTCCGACTCCACGAAGAGCCAACCACACAGCGCCAACAGCACCCAGGAAACCAGGTAGGGAGGGGCTGAGCCCACAGCGGACATGCAACACGAGTGGAGCGTAAGGGAGCACGTTATAAAGCGGTTATAAAGCAATGGATCATTGAAGGTGCCACATAGGATAGGTTCTTATTAATGGAACAGAGGAAATATTCTACTTTTCATCTTTGTGTTGAGTGAGGCGCGATATGTTCTGTTAATTTCCCTGAAATGCTTTTGAAACGCCCAACTGTGACGCTCTGGTTTTATCGGCCAAAGGTTTTTAGATGTTTTGCATGAGGACCTCCAGTCTGTGCTGGGTCGGGTCTTCTTGCTGATTTGAAATGGGTGGGGCGCGGTTGATAATATGTGACATCACATTGTTTTCGGCAAGCCAATGTTCACCCTCATTCATCAACCTGGTGCACTTTGAGTACAAAGTGACTAGACCTACGAAGAGCTTTGCCTCGGTTGACAATCAAAAATTGGACAAAAACTGTTTGTGCCCCTTCCATCTGGCAGGAGGCTGAGGTCCATCAGGACTACGACCTCCCGCCACACGAACAGTTTCTTCCCGTCGGCAGTCGGGCTCATCAACAGAGCCCGGTCCCCCACTGCCTGACTATAACATTCCACCGGTCACTCCCCCTCACACTGCACATGCCACTTTAACTGCAATTCATCACTTTGTCGTCACTTGTCACTTTGTCTCTTGTCTGTTACTTGTTCGTTAGTGCACTTTATGCTTAATATTTCTCTTAACTTTTTAATATTTAAATTTTTTTAACTTTATTCCCTTGTTTTATACTAACCCATAGCCTTAGCCTTATTCTACTAACCCATTGCATTAGCATTTCATTCCACTTTATTTTATTAATTGTGCACTGTTGTCTTGTCTGTCTACTGTCGCGCACTAACCGCCAAGACAAATTCCTTGTATGTTTGACATATTTTGGCTAATAAATGTTTCCTGATCCTGATCCTGATCCTGTGTGTGCGTGTTTAGCGACAGTGAGATGGATGTCGAAGCAGAGCACTATACCAATGGCGTTGTCGAGGGCTCCTCGGCGCGAATCATGAACGGCACGTACAAACACGAAGAAATCCTTCAACCTGATGACAACAGCATTGGCAACGGGGTCACAAGTAAATGCACACACACACACACACACACACACACACACACACACACACACACACACACACACACACACACACACATCTACACTCTGCATGTAGCATATTTGCAGAATCATGAATATTTTATGTTGTTTTTCTCCTTTCACCTCTTGTTTCACTCATTATTTTCCTTCCTTTTGAAGAATCTTTGTGTGCTTTGTTGTGTACCCTCCTTTTTAAAATGTTCTGCGTGTCTATTTTAACTGCGTGTGTCTGTTGCCTGCAGATGACAGTTGCAGTAATGGCAGACAGCTGTGTGGAGGGAACCAGGCAGCCACAGAGAGGATGATCCAGTTTGGACGGGAGCTGCAGATGCTCAATGAACAGCTGTGCCGCGAGTACGGCAAGAACACCACGCACAAGAAGATGTTACAGGTATACTCACACATATAGAGAGAGAAGAAAAAAAAGTATACCTTGACCCAAACAACAGCATCTGTATTGATATGGGCCGTGTGTGTCTGTCCACCCTGTATGTGTAGGATGCATTCAGCCTGCTGGCGTACTCAGACCCGTGGAACTGCCCCGTTGGCCAGCAGCTAGACCCGACCCAGAGAGAATCCCTCTGCTCCGCACTCAACAGCGCCATACTTGGTAAAAAGCAAACGCCATTCAAACTACAAGTCAAACTGTGACTCTCGTGTGGCTCCCTTGCCTGACCGTGTTTTCCCCACTCCAGTGTCCCAAAATCTGCCCAAGCAGCCTCCGCTGATGTTAGCGCTCGGCCAGGCCACTGAGTGTGTTCAGCTCATGGCCCGGGTCCGGTCCGGCTCCTGCTCCTTCGCCAGAGTAGACAACTTTTTGCACTAGCCCAGGTCCAGGTGAGTGAGTTAATGTGTTGTAAAGTAATTGAGCTTTCAGCCTTCAGACCAGGCGCCCTGCTGCCTGCTTTCTTTCCCCCCTTGCTGAGGAGATTCACAAAGGTGGACAAAATAACTGACTGCCCCAGTATGACAGTTTTAAAATAAGTACATTTTGAATATAGTTTTAAATGAATCCTTTCACTAAAACTGAAACGGAACCTGGAAGTTAGCCCCCTGGATCAGTAATTAGCTATTTGCTTCCTGGGCATTTTTCCAGCAAACCCAACAGGCTGTTCAACTGCAGTAACAACCAAGACGTTTTACTTATTACTACGTATTCATTTAATGACGCAGAACAGGACAGATAAAGGATTTCTTTGTAGGTGTATTTGCTGTTGCTTGGGTTGCAGAGAGGGGGATCCCAAATGTTTCCTCCAGTTGTTTTTTGGGAAGTTAAACAATAACGCTTGATCTTCCTCATGATAGTCCTCGGTAAACACTGCTCTTAGATTCTTTAAAGAAACAAAATCCCTTTTATTTTTGTTGTTGCTGTAGCTTGTGTTCACAGCCTGGCTACGTATCCACAAGTGTCTCCATGTGGCTAAAAAAAACTAGGTTCACATTACCTGAATCTCTACTGCAGACGTGACCTCAATTAAGAAAATACGATCCAGAATGAAATATATCAGTGTCCTGTTAGTATTAAATGTTATTTTATATAAATGACCTCACTCTCCATTCATTATGTTCCTACAAGGAGTTACATTTATGATAAAATATTTAGTTGGCACATTTTACACTGGTCATATGGTGCATGAGGTAAAGGGAACTACAATTACTAACTTATGAAAATACCAAAACATCACATCACCACTGTGCAGGAATATGACCACAAGCTGTTTGAAATCATGCTACATTCCTTCATTTCCTTGCTTAGATGACTACCCGTCTCTCCACAGGTTAATGTTAAGTGGCACCGGGAGAAGAAATGTCCAGCAGATAGTTGTCATGGCGACAGAGGAAAGAGCATGCGTGTGATTGGTGTGTTTGGCTGTCCATCAGACCGAACAAGTGGCATAGCCAAAGGAGGAGAGCAGCAGAGAAGAGAGCTTCCTTTTTAATTTAGTATTATCAAACAAAGAAATGTGTGACACTATTTAAGATCATTTATTATTATTCTGTTTATCTAGTCATTTTTATAGTTCTTTATTTTTTTGTCAGTTTGTTACAAACAAATTGTGAATGCCCTTTTATTTTCTCTTCTATTTTTACATGGATGGATTTTAATTTTCTGCGATCAGTATTTTACTCACGTTGATGTTCACCATATCACAGGCATCAATACCATCACCAAGCTACCACGGTGACCCACAAGACTCTAGGTCAGCTTTGCAAACCCCGAGACATATTAACGTCATCTTAGATAAGTTGCAAAAGACAAAGATTTGTTTATCCTCCTAAAGTACTCAGTGCATTCGTGTCTTGAAATAAATTCAACCGGGCCGAGCAAACAGGCTCAGCATGAACAAAAAAACACCATTAGTGGTGTGGAGCAGATCAGGAGGTCCAGTCAAGCCTGATTCCGTATAATAATAAACACTGCTGCTGATATTAAACTAATGAATGGATTTATGTGAGAGAAAAGAAAATCCACTTACTGCTTTTCTATTGGTCACAGTAAAAAAAAATCTTTGTAAGAAAACATAATTGAAGGGCCTCTGTAGTAACCAGGGGTTGATGGATGGGTGGATGAAGAAACAGTTTACCCCTAAAGTCTAAATGATATACTTTTCTTCTTACCGAAAGTGCTGTTAGTTAATCTGGTTTTAGTTCCTGAGTGTTCGATATATCGGCCTTCATGATTTTGTGGTTTCGCATAAATAGAATGGGACTTGATGACACTTGGCTCGGGGTGCTAAAAGCACCAATAAGATTAATTTGACAAACTATCTCGTAACAAATCATAACCCAGTAAAGATAATATGCTGACCTTGTTGTGCAGAGGTTAATGCGCTTTTCTTTTTTTCAGCCAAAACTATAACCCCCAAACGCAGGTCTTTTTTTAGACCAGCGCTGTATAGTCCCATTATAGGGGGGAGAATGTGGACATCTCTATTGCAACTATCTCCAATCCTCAGCAACTAACACCAAAACAACCTAGACTGATAAATAGCCTGACAGGTAATGTGAAACATATGTGTCTCTGATGTGGGGGGAGAATTTTCCCTTTTTAAATTGGAAAATAAAGGTGCCGGAACCTTAGTTTTACTGTAACGACCGATCCGCACCAGCTGCACACCTGTTATTTCGGTTGCCAGAGTAAAGAAAATCTGTATGAAAGGCAGACTAACAAGCGCAGCAGCTTGTGGACTGAAGAGTGAAGTCGCTCCTGAGAATTTCACTTGTGGCGCTTGATGTCAAACCCCTCTCAGGTTGTGAAAACCACCTATGCGTAATGGAAGAAGGTGTTGTTTATTCCATTCAGATCCCTCTTGTTCTTTAACATCCAAAAACTTGACTTTATTATTGTGTAGCCCCACTTTGTAAGTTTGTCCAGGAGTATTATGTCCAAAACAAAGATGTAAAAACAAATTTTTCTATTGACCAGGTTCGCTGCTGACCACTATGAGATTTAACCACATTGCTCCTGATTTGGGGTCTGACCAATGACCGAAAAACGTCCAAACTATCACTACTAGGCCTTCGACAGCATGAAATCACAGCTACAGCCTCCTTTGTCAACCACTACTGGTTGTCAACCCCAAATTGTCTGATATTAAATGAATAAATATGACTATGAAATAAATATATGAATAAAGCAATGCATTGTGCAGTAATTAAATTACATATGGTGGTCTATTCAAAAGGCCCCCTTTCAAATGTCTTCTCCCCCAGTTCCCCCTGTTCAACAACTGCTATCAAAATGTAGGCAGCTAGCTCCCAGAAGAGAAGTTACTCGCTTGTAGCTAACCAACCAGCTAGTTAGTCATTTTTAATCAACCAATTAGCTGTTGCTGCTCATAAACACAGTCAATGGGAAGCAAGCTTTGTTTTGATCTAGCTTAGCAAGACTTTATCACATATGCTACCTACTAACCTAATGCTAACCTAGCCAGCAGAGCAGCTAGGTTAGCTTATGGGGTTAGGGATTTTATTGCGCAGCTCCAAAGCAAAGAGCGGGTGTTTGCGGCTATCATTAGTTAATTCAGAGTTACTTATTCACTTATTGTTCCTCAGTGCGCAGAAACATTTAAGAGGTCTTAGTTAGCAACATCCCGTTGGGCTGAGTTGGGTTTTGGAAAATGTATTGAAATTTTTTAGTTTATTGGCTCTTTTATGTTCATTAGATTATTTAGTTCATTATATTGTGGTTATTTATTAAGTATTTGAGTTTAATATTGAGTTAATGATTTTGACATGACAACTTTCACAACTTTCTGTCTCTGTATTTAATCAGAGGATTGTTCTTTGCAACGAGTAATTGCCACGTACTTCGCCCTAATCGTATAATTGGATTTTGATTACAGACTTTTGTTTTGTTCCATCCCTTAACTTTCTGTGAAACATTGTGAACAACTTTTGTTTTTACACCAGTTTATTTTCTACCAGATAGCACTGATTTACTGTTATCGGACTTGTGGCCAGCTGTCACTTTCAGCTGCTTTGTTATGACCTGGCAAATATCTGGTGCAGTCACCATCAAGTATAAAATTCCGTTTATAAGATCATGTCCTTCTGATGTAGAGAAATATGGAATAATATGTGGGGTTTACTCCAGGATATACGTATGTTCACACTTACCAAGCTGTTTTTTATGAAGACCCTCTGCTATAATAGGGACTATTTTATAATATCCACACACATAGCACACATTTGACAACATCTTCTTATTCAGCTGTAAAGGACTTCTGTTACACACACACATACACACACACACACACACGCACACCTTTACATGGACGAACAACCTCTGTTGCACACCTGTAAGGAACAAGCCTCCCAGCTGTCCTTTGTGTTTGAGTCTGGGCTGTGTCTCAGCACTGTTACCACGCACCCTTCCTCTCACTCCTGCATAGACATAACCACTGATGTGATCAGCGTTTGTTTTAAGGAAAGGAGGGATGTTAGCGGCTTTCAGAAGTTGGCCCGGGGCCTCTTGAAGCCACATGGACTTCTCCCGAGAGGCCGGATAAATGGATTGAGGCATCGCGGATGAGCTGTGCACAGTTGACTTATCATTTTGATTTCATATTTTGACTTTTGAGTTTTAGCAAAAAGAAAAATTGTGAATGAGTTACCCTCTACTTAGCATGACTTTTAAAACGATATTTAAAAAAAGGAAAAAGAATAATTGAAAAAAAACAATGTATTGAAAACATGTTAAAGAAATATTGTATTCTGTTTAATTTTGACAGAATTATTTTTATTAAAATACATCCATAAGCATATAATTGATCTACTGATTTCATTTGGTGTGGTTTTCTTTTCCTATAGATACAAATGTGCTAAAAAGAACAACTCAATATGGAAGTAAATCAGTGTCATCGGATTTTGAAAGAAAAAGGTGATTGAATTTCTAGCACTGAATATTTATGCATTGAAATCAATGTATCTGAATGTTTTTCAAAAAATTCAACTGCAAATAATTCAACCACAAAAAAATCAACCGCAACATCCGGGAATCCAAGGAAGATTCAAGATCGGGAGCGTGCGTCAAGCAAAAGGAGCGAGCGCCCCAATACAACTTCGGCTGTCGGCTAGCACGATGATCGGATTTTAGCCATGTCCGTTAACAATGGGGCTTCGGTGAGTGTTTTAACTTTAACTTTATGCCATCAGTGTGGTTTGTGTCTGTAAGACTCAGTAATAGACAGCTAACATTTGTACATTGTACATTGTACATTGTACAATTGTACATTGTACTGATCCAAGATGGCGCCGTTGATGGCCGCCACGGTGCTTCGGTGCGCTTCGTTTTTTGTTGTTTTTGTTGTTAATTACGTTTGCTGCTGCGATTCCCGGAGCTCTTTCACCAGAGATGAGCTCTTGAACATCCGTGGAACAACTCCAGCGGAGTTACTTCCAACTTTCCTGCTTTCTTCCGTGGAATTACTGGACATTATAGTCAAAGGTGCGCTCACCTTTCGTCACGCGGTGAGACGCCGTAGGAGAGGAAAACGGGCCGGCTCGCTGGTGAGACTCCGCAAGCGTGGTTCTCCTGCATACAGGCAGAAACTAAAGCTCTGCAAACCTGTGGTGAGGGAATTCAAGAAGTGGACCAGTGAGGCGCTGGAGGATCTTCGGGCGTGCTTTGACTGCACAGACTGGGATGTTTTCAGGACTGCTACTGACAGTCTGGATGAGTTCACAGAGGCTGTAACTTCCTACATCGGCTTCTGTGAGGACAGCTGTGTACCATCATGCACCAGGGTGAGTTACAACAACGACAAACCCTGGTTCACAGCGGAACTCAGAACACTACGCCTGCAGAAGGATCAGGCATTTAGGAGTGTGGACAAAGACTTGTACACAGAGGAAAAATACAAGTTTAGCAAGGCGGTGAGAGATGCTAAACAACTGTACTCTGAGAAACTCCAACAACAGTCACAGCAAGTGACTCTGCTTCGGTTTGGAGAGGCCTCAAACACCTCACCAACTACAAGCCAAAAACCCCCCACTCCATGAATGACCTCCGCCTGGCAGACGAGCTCAATGAGTTCTACTGCAGATTTGAAAGACAATGTCCTGATCCCATCCCCCACAGCTCCACCAACCTGCTGCAGTCCCTCTCCCCTCCCTCCCCCAGCCCATCAGGTGCTCACGCCTCTTCATCTATATCACCTTCCCCTCCCCCACCAGCAACGACCCTCTCTATTCTGGAGAGAGACGTTAACCGGCTCTTTAGAAGACTAAATCCCCGTAAGGCAGCCGGTCCGGACTCCGTTTCCCCTCACTCCCTGAAGCATTGTGCTGACCAGCTGTCTCCGGTGTTCACTGACATCTTCAACACCTCCCTGGAGACATGCCACGTACCAGCCTGCTTCAAGGCCTCCACCATCATCCCTGTTCCCAAGAAGCCCAGGATCACAGGACTCAATGACTACAGGCCCATCGCCCTGACCTCTGTAGTCATGAAGTCTTTTGAACGGCTAGTCCTGACCCACCTGAAGTCCCTCACCGACCCCCTCCTGGACTCCCTGCAGTTCGCCTACAGAGCCAACAGGTCTGTGGACGATGCTGTCAACATGGCCCTCCACTACATCCTCCAGCATCTGGACTCCCCAGGAACCTACGCCAGGATCCTGTTTGTGGACTTCAGCTCTGCTTTCAACACCATCATCCCGTCTCTGCTGCTGAACAAACTCTCCCAGCTGCACGTGCCCGACTCCACCTGCAAGTGGATCACAGACTTCCTGTCTGACAGGAAGCAGCACGTGAAGCTGGGGAAACATGTCTCAGCCTCTCGGACCATCAGCACCGGTTCCCCCCAAGGCTGCGTTCTTTCCCCTCTGCTCTTCTCCCTGTACACTGTAGGATATTAGAAACAAATTGAAGATCCGGTTCATAAAATTAATAAAAATGCATATAGTGTACACCAGAATACAGCCATGATTCTGAAACTGTGTAATCAATAAAGTAATGACAATATTGTAAAACCACTGTAATTCTGCAACTGTAATAGAATAATACCAATGTACAGTTATGATTGTATTTGATGTAATGTGATCAACTGGAATGCATGCA